ATGAATCTGAATTGAACAACCTGATAATGCTCACTCTGGTTATTGTTATCTGGTTGCTCACTACGTGCTCTTGCGCGCCGAAACCTAACAATTAAAAATGAAAACTGTTGCCAGCGCGAGAAAAGAAATATAATCGGTTTTATTGATACATACATACGTACGTATTAGCGTTTTATATAATATAGATACTAATAGGAAGTATGTAAAAAATCTCCTGATTAAAAACCCATTACATGAGTGTGTAAACATAAAAGTATTGCATACAAATTCATGCAAAACATGTCATTATTCAAAAACTACAGTGCGTCTAATAATTTGGTCTCATTATTATTATATACTGATATAATAAATATTCTATAGTTATTGTGGTGTGATCATGGGATCACCACAATATTTACTTTTCATACTGGGCTGTCTCCAACAGGAGCGCCCTCTTCATTGCCTTTGCAGGATCTCTAGGGCTCGACTCATAGCTCGTCTTTAGAGATTCTTGCAACCGCTAGGGAGGGGACGCTATCTTTTGGAGATAGACCAGTATTCCCCGTGGATCTCGAGAAGTTGGTTGCTTTTTCAGCAGCAGGATAATTTTTGTTTTTATCCCCCTGTGTGCTCTAGAGTTTAATCGTTGATTTTTACCATAATAAGTTTTTCCTTATCTTCTAATTATTTATTTGATGCATCATGTAATTCAGCAAGAAAACAATTATTATTCCAATGACTTAAATTAAATTACTATCTACTCCCTGGAGCACACAGGGAGGATCCAGCTAGGCTCTTGTGAATTGATGAGCCGTATACTGAAATGAACATGTTCTTAAAACCGAGATAAAATAAAGATGCTGAATGAATGCCTTCGTCTACAAAAATCTGTGTTTTTCATTTGAATGGGGATATACAACATCTAGCACAGGCAGTTGGCGGATGATCTACACCTCATGGCCCTTCCTTCAACCACACCCCTCGACAGTTATATAATACATCGTCTAACTTATAACCAATCGTCGAATATATATATAATATGTCGTCTAATTCAACCCATTGATACACGATCGTGAGCAAGTGCAAACCGGTTTCAGCTGCGTAAAAAACAATAAAAGCTGATGTATAGTATCACCTGATAATTAAGATTTCGCATAGAATTTTATTCTAATAACTTGGCCAGGGACTGTAATGTTATTTATTCATTTTGTTACCAAAGGAATTAAATCATTATAATTAAGCAAACAACGAATCAGTTTAAAAGAATCTATCAACATTGCAGTGAAACAAACGGTTAGAATGTCATTACAACTAAGGAAATTAAAATGTTTTTCTTTTTTTGATATCGAAGGAATCAAATGATGATTAATAAACATATTAATTAATATAATGAAACAAAATAGTTGATATTTTTATTGTATTAACTTGTCACAAGTTATCAATCATTTACAAAACTCTTTAAAAAAAACACTTGAACTTCAACTATGCGGAATCCGTTAATGTGTACATTGCTTAGAAAAAAAATTCATATTTCGCACTTCGGCAGATCATCCTACGTTAATTTGAAGATTAGGTATAGGATGTGCTCATAAATGACAGACATTAATTTTAGCGGACATTGGACGACCCTAGCAGATCGCCCAGTTCTGTATCTGCACGGCCATACACCCAATTTCTTTTAAGCAGTTTGTCATAAGAATCCTAATATAGAAATCACCATGCTCGTAATTATAAAACTTTGCATGCTCATTAAAGAATCGTATGACATTTAAGATCTTGTTCTAAAATCAGTGTCAGCGGTCGAAATCACACACTCCAAACATTCTTTTAATGTCAAATGCCCAAAAGAAATGGAAAGAGAGACGGAATTTTAATCACTTAACGTTGAAGTCCGATGCGAGTTTGGGAATTGGGACATATTTACCCTTTTACTGACCCCGATTTCCTTCGCAATGGGTCATGTTTTGAGTTGGGAATCTTTTTTGGCGGTCACAGACAGAATATTTTCACGAAAGAGGACACACTTGCCGGTGAATTTTTGATGCCTTCCTTGCCCTTGAAAAAAATACCGCCTAAGAGACACTCGCTCTCAATTCTTCTTCTTGTCTTGAAAAGAAAAGGCCGAAAGCCATCGTTCTCTTTTAAAATTTAATGTTAACTAAGAAAAGGCACACACACACACACACACGATTCTTTTTTTAACGATGGAATTCCAGTTAGCTGTGATAGGTGATATAGATAAAACAGATTTATTGAAAAAGAAGTACGTTTCCAGTGTTTATAAGTAACCTATTGTTGAAAAAAAAATGGATCCATGCGGCAAATTCAATTTTAATTTACAATGTTATTTTTTTTCCCCGTACATGTTTTTTTGTTTTACGTGCTTAAAATGAGTTCTACAAATAAAGGATGATTGCTAGAATTGAAATAATGAAACTTTCATAAATGAAAAAAAAATTATTTAGCATTTCCTCGTATAAATAGAATACAACTTATTATAATTCTGTACTAGTCAGCCATTTTTTTTTGTGTGTGAAATGTATCCTTTATAAGAGAACGCTCTATGAACATAATTTTCTCTGAACACAACTGAATATTCTTGTGTTAATGACTTCCAAACATTTAGCGTACTTAAAATTGAATTCAACATTAGAGTTTCTATTTCTTTTTTTTTTTAATGAAACTATGCATGCATAAATAAAACAAATTGATAAAAACTGATTCCTAAAACTTGACCATTTATCGATGCAACTATTGTTTGATGAAAAAAAGGATAGCTCTGAATTTTTGCGTTGAGTAAAAAAACAAAAAAAGAGAGAAAGAAAGAGAAAAAAAAAGTGAAAAAGAAAAAAAATCGAAGGCAAAACAGCGTTGGAAGTGCAAAAAACGATATCAAACTGAAACTAAATTTGTAAAAATATATCTCTGTGCTTTTCTGGTATTGAAATTTCATTTTTTTATTTACTCTTTAATAATTGAACTTATTAGTAGTGTAATTTTTTAATCAATTATTTATTTAAATTTATGAACGTTCTGGTGTTTACGATATTTAAATAATAAATAAACCACTTTTTTTATCCCATTTTTGAAGACTTTCAGCTAATATGATAAGGGGGAGAATTTTTACGTTTCAGAGATAATATTTAGTTATATACAACAGCTAATGTATTTGTTAATATATAAAAGAGAAGTGCGTTACATTAGCCAATATGAAAGCCATTTTTTCTCGTTTTTTAAATTTATAAATTGCTCTATCCTTCATACATCCCTGAATAAGTTTCCAACGGTTCTTTCCTTAGCAATTAACAACCTGTCGGTTTGTAGAGACGCATAGGACGAGGAATGGCTGATTACCATTACATTCTTTGTAGTAAAAGCAAGTGCAAAGATTTTTTTCTGATCATTAACAGGGCCTAGTTTACAAAAAGAGAGGCCTAAGATCGAAGTCTCTTCTCCAAATTTCAATAGGACCTTAGAATAGAGCTCTAAATTAGCGGTCGCCAATGGATGAAAAATGGCTACCGGGATATCAAACTATAATCACCAATGGCGATCATGTTACAGACCTAATGTAAAAAAATAGAATACGCGTGATGCGAGCTGATTACATCATAAATCAAAGACCTATTTCGGTTGTTTTGCTGGAAATTTTTTTCTCCGAATTTCCATATGTTTTTTAGTATCTTGATTTTTTTTATTGCGATAATATGAATGGTGAATCTCGCCTTAGTGTAATGACTTCTTGATGCTCGAGTCGCAGATATGTCATCATTTTTTTCCCAGAGTTGTTACTACACATTTCTGATATTAGAGTACATACTCTATCAGCTAAATCTCAAACTTTCACCAATGGTACATTAGTGTAACTGCAGCGCAACGTTAACTATCAAATTTTGTTATTTATTTCCATTTATTGGTTAAAAAATACAAAAGTCATAATTTTTGATGGTTTTCCATTAATGGACCAACATAATCTTAATGGTAACCATCAATAATTCCATCATAAACCATTATATTTTTGATGGTAGCCAACATAAGTAACCATCTCCCCAATCTAAGAATTCGGACTGATTTTTGATGGTCTAACATAAGAATAGCAACTTGTTTTTGATGGTTTGTTCATGTTAAACTATCAGAAATTTCCATCATAGTTTTTTTAGAAATCAAATATTGAAACTTTTATGAACCACCATCTCCCCAATCTAAGAATTCGGACTGATTTTTGATGGGCAAGCATTAAAAAAAAATTTGATAGTATATTCCTGCTAAACCATCAATAATTAGTACTAAACCGTCACGGAAATGGATTATTGTACCGTAGTGGACGGTCACAAATTTCCATCATAGTTTCTTAGAAAACAAATGTTGAAAAGATTAAGAACAACCATCTCCCCAATCTAAGAATTCGGACTGATTTTTGATGGACAAACATTAAAAAAAAATTTTATAGTATATTCCTGCTAAACCATCAATAATTAGTACTAAACCGTCATGGAAATGGATTATTGTACCGTAGTGGACGGTCACAAATTTCCATCATAGTTTCTTTGAAAACAAATGTTGAAAAGATTAAGAACAACCATCTCCCCAATCTAAGAATTCGGACTGATTTTTGATGGGCAAACATAAGAAACAAGCAAATCGTTTTGATGGCTTATTTCTGAGAACCAACAAGAATTCGTATTAAACTATCAAAGAAATGCATAGTTTGAACCATCGTATATTGTTGGTCCATGAGAATCAAACTTCTCTTAATGGTTAACCATCCTAGTACTAAAGTAGCATTTTCCATCATGGAATGATGGATGTTTGTTTGCATATCAAAAACTATGAACGATAATGGTGACCATCAAATGATGTTTAACGGACCATCATGAATCACACTAAAACCAACATAAACCATCAGTTTTGATGGGTAGTTATTTGTAAAGAAATTTTATAATAATTATTTAGTGTGAGAAGAAAAACCAAAGAGCTTGTGTGTATGTGTTTCTAATGTGTGTTTCTTTTTGTGTCTATAGTGTTTCTGGTGTGTTCGCATGCAGCGACTCCTTACTATGGTACCGAAATAGGACCCTTCAAACACTATGCCCATGATGTTCAGGGAACAGTATACGCTGTCGACGATCGAACTATATTCATAAAGGACTTTTCTTACGATGGACAAGGACCAGGTACATCTCCAAATTCAACATTAGGATTATAAATTTTGGCTTATCACTTTATATTATTACTTAAAATATAAAAGTTTATAATTTTCAATAAATGCAGATTTTATTTATACAATTCAATGATTTTTATAGACGCATTTTTAAAAGTATATTTTACATGTTCTATAAGTGTTTAATTTTAAACACATGGATGTTTAACTCGTATGTTTGTCACGTTAATATTATAACACAAAATGGTTACTAATCTATCCTACCAGAGTTTCCTATAATAAGTACTTTGAAAGTGAATATAATTATAAATTAAAGAATTTCACTTTTAAGACAGTTGAAAGAAAGTGTATCTTTGTTTTTTTGTACCTCTGTTTCCACTAGCAGGCTTAAGCCAGCTTAAGAGGCGACCTTGCTGAAAGTAGTGGCAACGCTTGCGAAGAACATTCTTACGTTTTTAAGCTTGTTATTTTTCCAAGTTGGCTGCCGCAGAGAAGGTAGCAATGAATGGAAAACGAATAAATCTGAAGAGACAGTTTTTATAAAACAACATTTATTTAAAACATAAACACCACAAAAAAAACCCACACAAAATGCAAAAATTAACTGCAATTCCCGTAACGGGTTAGTATACAGCTTAAAATAAATAAAAAAAATTCTTGATCTCGTTGTAAATGAAAATAAAAAAATTTATGAGCAAATGGAACATGATTTTAAAATTACGCTGTCTATCTTTTTCCATTTTAATGAAAAGAGTCGATTGTTAAATAAAAAACGAACAAATTTGATATTTTTGCGTTCAAACAAAAATCTCAAACAGAGCTGGCGTTCAAACAAAGCTCGCAATCTTTAACCGAATTTTAATATATCAGCGCACCCAAAAGAGCTATAGTTCAGCTAGCTCAAATATATATAAATGGAAACGGATTTAAACTTGCTCGGCTTAAAGTTAAGCTTTCTTTGCCGTATGCTGACTTAAACCTGCTAGTGGAAACAGGGTATCGTGATCCTGTAATAAGATTTGCTTATCCAATAATAATGCTTCAATAAGAAATCAGATGGGGGGTTAAACAAAATAAAATGCTATAGAGATGATTTATTCTTTATTTATTTTGAAAAAAAAAATACGTAAATTTGTCATTGAGATTTTTAAGTTGTTTTTTTTTTAAATTTGTTTTTTTTTACATTTTTTTCACTTGTTTTATTTTTAAATTTATGAATCAAAACCTTAACAAAAAAAAAAANAAAAAAAAAAAAAAAAAAAACTTCTACTGATAAGACACAGACAGGTCTGTGTCTTATCAGTAGAAGAAAACGTATAGATTGTAATGAACAAAGTAGGCTTTCAAATGAAACAACCCCGGGAGTGACCCTCGGTTGCACAGGTGTAAAACTTACAACTGAAGAATGTTCCGCAATATAAATGGCCCATGTTACATGCCCTATAGGTAAGGAGAATAATAAAATTTGGAACATAATATATGATCATGAATTGTAAATGATGGTGTCCAGATGTAAAGATGAAGTGTTTACATCATTATCTAAGCTGTAAACAGTTTAGTAAAGTTCTCAAAGCAGCAACAAAACAAATGTAAATGCGATTGTCTTTTACATAGCACCGAAACTGTAATTGAGAAAGTTCTGTAAATGTACACATGCCCTGTTTACAGAGTTCGAAGCTAAAGCTAAGGAATGTTCCATAAATATAAATGTACAGATATAAAAGTAAAGTAAAAAGTAATAAAATTATTTCATACTTCCAGAGAGCATTGAGGGAGGGAACGGAGAGCGAGAGTAGTACGGGAGGTAAATTCCCACATTTGTATTAGCATGCGTGNGTCAAACCCCGCTATAGTGAACACGGTTTATAGTGAACTCCCGGATATAGTGAACAAAGTGCTCGGTCCCGTGCCTTGCTATACACGTATAATGTTATTTTTAGTGGATATAGTGAACCAAAAAAGTGAGGAAGTTGGATATAATGAACTTTTTTCTGTCTTCGACTGATTTGCCCCCATTTTCTTTGTAATAATTTTGAAATTTCTACTTTAAAATAAATATATATACCGATTTTTAAAACCATCTATAGAAACTACTTTTATGTGCTCAAATGGCAGGTTAGACAGGTTTAAAAAGCGGAATAACAGAAATTCAGGAAAAATTATCTGAGAGTCGGGAAGTGTTTCCATATCTGATGTTGAGGATTGCTCATCAGCTAAAGATTACTAATTTTTGTTTCAAGGTTTTTTGAGTTTACTTCATGTACACTTTTTCTCCCTTGCACTATACTGTTTAAATATGTTAATTTGCATTTGTACATTATTGGAGTAAAAATTTGATGCAAAGGGAATTTCGTAACGTAAGTTACTGTAACGTAAGTTACTCATTTAAAAAATCATATTTAATTTAACTTTTGAAATAAAATCTTATATCTAGGCATAATAAATATTTAAACTTGTCAGTAAAATGATACATATAATCTTAATCAATTAACATTTGTATAAGAACAGAATTTTGCCTTCAAGCATATTGCAAATTTATGCCATTCCTTTTTCAGTAACGTAAGTTACCACACTAGTTTTAGATTTTTACACTGCTTAAATTGAAAAATATTAATTATTATAATTAGGTTCCTTTTGGTTTTGATTGTAATTTTAAGAAATCACTTTATTTTAGATTGTATATTAGTATTATTTGTTTGCTTCTAAGTTCTCATTGCAATAAAGTTTCTGTGAATGTAACGTAAGTTACCATGGAATAGCCCTACTACATAATATTTTTCAGTCATTTATATGAATATAATGTAAAAAAAAGGGAGGAGTTTGGGAACCATTAATGAAATTGCCTGCGCAACGGATATAGTGAACCAAAATTTCGGACCGTTGAAGGTTCACTATAGCGGGGTTTGACTGTATATACATTCCCGAGTTAACTCGGGATAATAAATATTTGCAATATATACATTCCCGAGTTAACTCGGGATAATAAATATATGCAATATATACATTCCCGAGTTAACTCGGGATAGTCAGGGAAGCGGTTAAAAGCCTTTTTCTCTCCAATTGAAAAAGTGCAATAAGCTTTTTAAATACTGAAACAAACGCAAACATTTTCAAGATTTCTGATGTCCCAGCCAGTGCTTTAAATAGAGCGCATTTCTCTCGGTACATAACGTGATGAATACAAAATTGATTTCGGCCTGCAACACCGCCGCGGCGACCTTTGAAGCACTGCCTGCCCCCCCGTGAATCAACATATAAAACAGGTTTATAGGTTATTATTAGAGAGTCGCTTTCTATTTATTTCTTCTTCTTCCTATGCTTCATTTCCTACTTCCTTTGGGCCATCACTGTTAAGTCTTTTAATATAATCAATAGTTTAGGAGGGTTTTTCTTTTTAGAAATGAATGAGCTATTCATAGATTTTGCACGCTCTTTAGTTTAAATTTGTCGCCAAAATACACTCTCCCGGGCTGATGGCTACATTGAAATTCATAACAATAGAATTGGTTAGAAATGATTGTGTTATCTACCATTGGAAGAAACAGATCCGTTTTTTCTTTTCTGTATTAAAAGTAAACACTATTATGTTTCAATAGATTTTCAGAGGAAGGAAAAAAAATTTTTTTTTTTTTTTTTTTTTTTTGGTTTATGTGGTGATGCTTGAGTTAATGCGTGATACACAAATATCATATCATTGTGTCTGCTCTAAAATATAAAATTAAATATTTGAGATGAAGAAAAAAAATGCTCTACTTTTGATTTTTGTTGTAAGTTTTTAAGGGGAAATGATACGTAAAATTTTCTAAATTCGGACAATAATTCGGTATTTGTTTGTAGCCTTATTTTGCATAGTTTTTTTTTTTACATTGGTACAAAATTGGAAAAAAATACTATAAATGTTTACTGAATCACATTTTGTTTTGTTTCCTTATCGAATTTGAAGATGATTTTAAACTCATTTATTTTTCTTTTGCAAAGGTTGCTTAAGTTTTTTTTTAAAAATTATATTTAAAACAAATTTCTTGAAGTTTTTTGATGCATCTCTGTATTTGTTGGTATTCAAAGGATGGTATAAATTTGTGATTCAAGTGAGTAAAATGTTTTGAAAAGCTTTAAATGTAAAAAAAAAATATATATAATAAAAATATTTTTTGATAAATTTTACTCATTGAACATGAAAAAATTCTTTCTGATCTGTAACTTATCTACGTGGCCGCAATTTTCTTTATACATTTTTGTTGACAAAATATAAAAATATAATTTTTTTTGAGAAAAACAAAAATACGTGGTTTCTCGTAACTTTCAATATGTTTATTTGTGGCTTCATCATAACTCACGTAATCTATTCACATTTACTTAATCGAATTGGCAGAGCAAACGGGAAATAAGTAATTATTAAAAAATTGTCATAATATTTCGATTTGATTAGATTAGTGCCATAAGTTGGAGAATGCCGTGTTGTTATTACGTGAAAATCCTTTAGAAATATTTTCAGGATTTTAATTGAATTTTTTGAAATGACAGTATTTTTTTCATAATGCAATTTTGATTATTTTTTATTTTTATGTAAGTAAGCGTCTATTTTGGAAAGTATTTATAACATTTGTTATAGACCTTATTCTTAACACCCCCCCCAAAAAAAAATTATAGCGTAAGGGACATTTTTCATTACGTATGTAATTATTACAAGCATATAACTAGCACCTAAAAATTAGGTTTCTAACAAAAAAAGGAATGTTTTTCTCTAAGTTTCACAATGCCCTTTATAGTGAAAAAAATAAACAATTAACATCGTATTAAAAATAATGAATTAAAGCAATTAACGCTTTTTGAAATAATATTAAATAAAAAAAAGAAGTTAATATGAATAATAATAAGAGAAGACTTAATATGAATGAAGTCTTAATCAGAAAGATTTACCTTGCATGTAACTAACACTTAAAAATTAGGTTTCTAATTTTTTTAAAAAATGTCTACTTTAGCGTAACAGTGTCCATTTTAACGCAAATGATAAATATTTAAACATATACTATTTATAGGCATATCGTATAACGTTAGTTGGTAAAAATCATTTATTAACAACAATATGTAGCTTAGGGATTTTTGGTTACATTTATGAATAAATATATATGTTTATATAGATAGATATATTTATTTAAGTAGATGAGATATCTTGAGAAAAATTTGAAGCACAGGTATTTTTTAAATTTTATATATACGAGGGTTGTAAATTAAATAGTGGCAACTTAACTTTGAAACTCACAGAAGAGCGGGCATGAGCTAATAGGATATGGAAGCGGTGAGGTGGAGCTGTTGTCGATGTGTAGAGTGCAGAAACAGTCGATTTGCTTAGAAGGGTAGTTGTTGCGTGGCGTTAAAGTGAGGAGTTTCGTTTCCATCGCTCTAAAGCATGTTGTGAAAAGGCTTACTATACACGAAAATTAANTGCTACTGTCCTATACGGTAAAGCATTTGCGCCACAGGCTTCCACTAATCCACGATAGCATTCTGTTGCATTTTTGCCACGGACAACCTCGATTTTAAGCCACGACTGCTGATCACCTTTTGACAACTTGCTTTAGAGCTATGGAAACGAAACTCCTCACTTTAACGCCACTCAACAACTACCCTTCTAAGCAAATCGACTGTTTTTTGCACTCTACACATCGACAACAGCTCCACCTCACCGCTCCCGTATCCTATTAGCTCATGCCCGCCCTTCTGTGAGTTTCAAAGTTAAGTTGCCACTATTTAATTTACAACCCTCGTATATTTCCTAGATAAATTATTGATAAAAGGGAAAATTGTTCTAGAATATTAATGTTTATATAAAAAGGATCATATTTGCCACCAACAGTCATATTTTTTATGAATTTTTGTTCTTATTTAGGCAACTATTTTTATAGTTTTCGGCTACTATTTTCATGCTTTTAGCTACTAAAAGTTAACTATTTTGCCCATTTNTATATATATATGATTTAGTGGATGGGGAATCTTGTGGTAAAACTGGCACACACAAACCTAAGGCATTCCTGACATGATTTATTTTTCTTTCTTTAAGATCTACACTGTCTTTTTCAGTGTAGTTAACACCCTATTAAAAATTAATAAATGGAAACAATTAGCGCTTTATGAAATAATGACCCGGAAAAAGAACTCTTCATCAGAAAAAAAAACAGTTCACATCTTTGAACTGATTAGTTACCACGCGCATGACCTCATAATTGGCAGTTTCTCACAACTTTTAACGATCAGCTTTCTCCGATTTTAATCTCTGTATTACTTCTTTGATTTTTTTTTTTTTATGCCCTGCAGGAAAGAAAATTCGGAACATCTTCCCTTGCCATTTGTTTTCCTCTTCCTTTTTGTTGTTTTTTGTATTTCATTTATTATTCCGTCTTTTGTTATAAAAAAAAATTATAACTCTTTCTTGTTAGTTATTAACAATGGGTGAAATTGAGGACGTTTATTTGGTAGAGAATCTTTTTTTTAGTGCCCACGTTATATTGTTGTCCATTGTTTTGTTTCTTCATGGCACTCACTCACTGTTAAGAAATGTTCGTGACAACAGGGGGAGTTTGTTTTTCCACAACGGTTTAACAAAGTGGCACAATTTCTCAATGAAAAATGAGAAAGAATTACATTTTCCTACAGGGTACTACATTCGCAACCAAGATGAAAAAAAAATTTTTTTTGCAACGAAAACATTTAAAAAACATAATGTTTCATATTCAACCATTTGATTTGCAAGATAACATAACATAAATATTTTTACGGCATGTAACTACTATATAATGTTATTGGGAGATGCTTTTTTTTTCTGAACATAGAATGGGACTTTTTCGTGTTCTGCGATTATTATTAGTTTTTTTTTATTTTTAAATAAGACATTTTTTAGTCTACTTTTGTCGAAATGTTCGAGCATAACGTTATCTATAACATGAGGTCACATAAATGCCACGACGGGCCTGTAGGAGAGTTAAGGCTCAGGACTAAAATGGCATACGAACCGATGACAGGAAATATCATCGTACGTGGCTAGGGGTGCTTCACCACAGGGATCGAAAAGCAGCCCGTCCGCCCGTCCTCGGCGGTCAAAAATTCCCCGCGGACAACAAATTTCTCGAATCCAGCGTCATTTTTCCGTTAATGTTCGTGATACATTTTCAATTTTTGTTATCTTACAAGAGTCTAGCGCCTCACTTCTAAAATGACCCTCTAATCTCGAAATACAGCAACATACTGCGCATGGTGGAATTGATGTTTTCTCTGTCTGGGAGTACTGCAGCGGTTGAAAGGGGTTTTTCAGCAATGAACTTACAAAAAAACACTTTACTTACTGCTGTTAAACAAGAAGCGTTAAACGCATTTATGAACATCTACCTAAATGGANTCTAATCTCGAAATACAGCAACATACTGCGCATGGTGGAATTGATGTTTTCTCTGTCTGGGAGTACTGCAGCGGTTGAAAGGAGCTTTTCAACAATGAACTTACAAAAAAAAAAAAACACTTTACTTACTGCTCTTAAACAAGAAGCGTTAAACGCATTTATAAACATCTACCTAAATGGAAAACCTCTTTCAGATTTCTGTGCAGAAGCCTCTGTAAATCATTGGCTTGATTGTGGAACTGGCAAACGTCATATCTGATTCATTTAAAAAACATCGGATAAATTGACATGATAATTGACAGATAACTTAACCTTTGTTATTTAAATTATTTCATCAAAGAAATAAATTATTTCATAATAGAAATACTAGGTTTTACTATTAGTAACCTAGTATTTCTTTTATTACTGTATAATGTAATCCTAGTATTTGTAATCCTAGTAACTACTAATTCATTGTGCAATTTATATAAATGTTTGTAATAAATAAGAGAAAATTATATTTTTATTTATTTAGAAGCGACGGGTTAGTTTCAAAGGAGGACGGGTACATTGTTGGACAAGCCGTCCTCGGGGACGGGTAAAATTTCTGAGTTTTTTCGAGCCCTGCTTCACCATAGTATAACGTGCTCAGAAACATTTAATAATAATCAAAATTTTATCATTCGACAAAAAATACATTAAAAAAATGTCATTTAAGAAAAAAATTAGCTTTAAGAGCAAAACTAAATTCAGATTTGAAATCCCCATACCTGAATTGAGCAAGATCAAGTATTTGTATAAATGCAACAGAAAATTTGTTCCCCAGTGTAACAGTATTACTAAGTAAATTTTGGGTTTGAAATATTAGAATTGGAAACTCAGAGTTGTTCGGAATTCTGCAATTTTTTTGAATTGTTGCCAGATGTAAAGACATTTTCTACTAGAACACGTACAGGATATGATGAATAGTTATTGTTTAATTTTTTAAACAAAAAAAAATTGCCATTTATGGAAATATTTTTGAAATGTTTGTTTGTAAATTTTTGTAGATGCCTTTTTCTGGGCTGGTTCCACATCTAAACCGGATACTTCAGGTTTTATAATTCCAGATGAAAAGGGAAAGTAAGCAGCATTTAATGTATTTTATATAGTTCTTTTTTGTTTTGTTTATTACGCTATTTTTTATCTATTTATACACCCTATTAATTTTTTATCTTTCAATCAGTAACAAAAAAATACGCCCTTGAAGGTGAGTTAGTTTCTCAAATTAAAGATTTCTTAATTAGAAATGATAGCGCATTAACGCAGGTTCAAAGTTTGGACGACCCCTTAATGTTAATTTTACTTTTTGTGTATTTTGCCGTATCTCGACAATTTTTTAAACGAATTGAAAATTGTTTACACACCATTATAAAATTCATTTATCCAAAGACAATTATACTAAAAAAGTAATTTTTACTAATCATTTATTTTTTATTATTTTATTTAATAATAGTCAAATGTTGCAATTTGACTATTTATAAAATTATGCACAAACTTAAAAAATTTATTTTATATGGCAAAATACAAAATTGGAACGAAATCTGTCAAATAGTTCCAAGGAAATTGAGTTTTAAATATTCAACTTCGTTAAAATTCAATGAATGATGTCGCATATGTAAAACTCGATTATAAGGTATGTTTGTTCAGAAAAATATGTTATGACTGATTTCGTAATTTAAAATCGTCCGCATTAATTAATTAGCATATTTGATACCATCCCCTCGAAGATAGAGTACGTGTAAAATCCGGTCATTAGATCAAAAGTTATGCAGGGTGGTTAATTTTATGTATTATTTTTTGTGCACTCTACGTCAGAAGGTGCAAACAATGTTCGAATTAGAAGGCGCATTTGTTATAGTAAGTCTAAAAATTCGGTACATGATAGGCAAAATATTAACCATCCCTGTTTTAACGTGTAAGTGGTTAAGGTTCGATTAGATTTAATTCTAGTAGTATTATTGTTTCTTTTAAATCTTTAGAAGCTTTTACCTCCAATAAAAATAAGTGACTTTACAAGTAAGGGGATAATAAATCAACAGTACGGAGTCATTTTACCAAAAGATAATTTTATTCATACTCAACAAAACGTTTTAATAAACTGTTTTAGAAATTTCATTTTTATTTTAATTTCTTAAAATAATTTTGAAAAGTTGTTCTCTTGAGGTACTGAAAACGGAAATTTTTGTTCTTATTTAGGAAAACTCCTCTCCTAGAGTACAGACGGACGGATCTGCTTCTAAGATTGCCTGCAGGGAAAACATTACGAAACATTAAGTGGATAGCTGTCTGGTGCAGAAAGTTTACAGTAAGCACACACACATTTTTTCTTAACTCTTGAATACTGCAAATAATTTTAACTTCATCTCACAGATCGATTTTAAGTGGCTCATGTTGCAAACCCTAGGAGGTATTTAACCTTGCATGTTCATGGTATTGAATTCATTTCCTCTGATTGTGGAAAATATGACAAATTTAATTGGCAAAATTAATATTTTAAGAGACCTGTAAAATGAACAGCAAAAGTAGTTTCAAGTTCGAAACCCCGCTCTGCCATGTGTCACTTATTTCTAACTATTTTTGTGTCTTGTGCATGATCAATGCGAAAATTACAAATGCAACACTATTACTTTCATGACTTTTTTTCGTAGATACAATATGTATATAATTATAGAAAGAAATTTTTACTACGTTGACTAGGTCACACCCAGTACATTCTGCTGCTCTCTAACGGGTTTGAAGGGAACTTTTGAAAGTATGTAGACTTAAATACGAGGTGTGGCAATTATATAATGGGACTGCTGATGTACCCACAGACGAAGTACGCATGCGCCAAACGTGAATGATCAGTAGTTTATGCAGCGTGAAGTCGTCTTTTTCAAATGTGATCCGACTGTAAGCAATTTAGTCCGGCCGTGGCCTTCGTTTGTTTAACAGCTGTAATTTTGTTTTGCCAGAAAAAATAATAAGTGCATTAAGCAACAAATCTTTCATGAAATCCCCCATGAAAGACGAGAAAAGCGCTACTGAAACATAAAAAAGCTTATGGCAAAACAAAACAAAATGTTTATCACATTTGTGAGTTTTTCAGTGGATGGCCGAGAAGACGGTGAAGTTGATCGCCCTTCTACGCCAAAAACAATTGAAAGAAATGAAAAAGAAAAATATCCGTAATCTGATTCATTCTGATCGATAGTAAACTAGTATAGTTAACTACAATCGTGGGTCGGTAATTCTTTCATGACTTTGTTTAGGTGGGGCTTTAACTATGATAGATCACTGATATTTTAACACAAATGAGCTGATTAATGTGCATGGTTTTCCATTGTGGTGCTTAACTCTTTTAATTAGAGCCTCATTATTATAGATAAGCGGTTACTTTCCGGTGTTCCGCTGAATCCTCAGGTTCCGTGGATGGATCACAGGGGTTCAACAGTTAGGATTTCTTTAAGCCAGTAATAATTATACGCATATCTTATCAATAATCAATTCATTTATTCAATATATTGTTTACTTACACCAAATTTTTTACTCAAAATGCGAAGGACGTCTTTTTTAATAACAATATATTGAGCTTATTTTCAGCGCATGCATCATACACTAAATACAATTTCATAATTTAAAATATCTTCGGGTTAAATATTTTCAGAATAAAGAGTAGTCCTTTTATTTTATTTATTTATTTTCACAAATTCAAAAAATAATAGATCTTTATAAATTCAAATTAAATTTTTTAAAGATTCCGAAATAAGTTTCTATAAAGGCCGGGATAGCCTGGTTGGTAGGGGCCCATGTCCAAGACGTCGTGGGTTCGATCCGCGCTGGCTGAAGACTCCCCGTTGTAGCAAATGGTGACTGAAGCAAGTTAAATTTGCCGAGTCACAATGTCCTCCATGTTCCCATAACAAATCATACCTCTTGGGGTGCTGATCTAGGAGTTTCCTTGTCTTCTGGATTGGTTCAAAGCTACGGAGTTGAACATCAGTAGTCGTAAACCCAAAATTGGGTCGGCTGTTCATCGAAGGTTATAAATAAAAAAGTTCGATCCTATAGGGTAACGGAACTGAAAAAAATGTGTACCGCTCTATATAAATTATGCGTATTTTTCAGCAACTCAAAATTCGAGGAATCAAAATTATACTTATTATGCATTCTTTAATTTTAACTCCCAGGATAGGAATCTCTCTAGGATTGGAATGTATGTTACTAAGAACGTATGTTACTAGAATGGGATGTTGCTAGGAACAAGTAACATATAACAAATGCTTTTTTTAAAAAAAGTATTTTTGTTTAAGCTATCACATTAAAATTATGTTTATTCCCTCGATAGGCAAATTTTGCTGATATCTTCATACCGTCTGATCTTAAAATCCCTCAACCTTTGGAGATCGGTCGATTGCCGACAAAAGATCACGGTGTATCATCAGGGCCTGTCATGGTAGTCGACACACAGACTCTTCTAGTTCCAGATTTCTATTACGATGGACTCGGACCAGGTATTTTGAATAGATTTAATAAAGAATCATCTAAAATTGTATTTTTTACTATACATTGTTCTTACACACATTTGTTATGTTTTAAAACTTGTTAATTTATGTTTTAAAAGACAAATGGGAAAACGAAGTTTGGAAGAATTGAAACTAGACTACTTTATACTTAACCGAAAGTTTTGTTTTGGTATAATTTTTTTAAAAATTTTGTTCAGGCAAATGATTTGGTTCGTTTTTTCAACACTTCATGTTTAAAAATTTGAGAGCTCTTCTTACTTTGTTTTATTTTTGCTTGTTATTCTGCGTTGACGCAGCATTTTAAGGGTTAGTTCCTAATCGACATCATTCTTTTGTTGTAACATTTCTGTACTGTAAGACAAATAACTGGTAACATTGCATTAAAGTTTTGTTTTAAGACAGAAGACAATATTATGTTTTCTATTTCTCTTTTTTTTTAAACTTTACAGCTGTAGTTTATTTAAAACCTGCTAGCCAAGTGTTTACTTAGCTTAATTACTTCTAAATACCTGTTTTTTTTTTAAACATTTTTACCTGAGTTTTTTTTTTCTCTTTACTAAATACCAATAATACAGCTAAGTTTTGATTATTTTTCAATAACGACAAAAAATATTTATATACAGAATAACATTTATTAATGATATTTTTTTGGAAAAAAAAGTTGCTATTCGGCCCTGAATATTTGGTATTCAGATTTAGCCAAATCACGATTCGTTTACACACCTAACTTGTATATATTTACTTTAGTAGCATAGATTGACTGGACCCAGTATAACTAAAGTTTACTGTAAAAGTGAACATAGCTTTTTTACTGTTTGGTAATTGAAAACCCGTTAATAAGTTCGATAATATATTACTTTTTAGTAAAGAAACACCACTTTTAATTCCAGTACTTTAATTTGGAATGCAGATCAAGATCAAAAACGTAATAATTACAGAACAAAGGATGTGAAATAACCATTACAGACGAATTCCGCTAATTCATTAAATTTCGGATAGCTCAGTGGATGATGGTACTAGAGTCTTTAAGAGATTTTAGAGTAAAAAAAAGCAACAACAAAACGTATTAAAATATTTTTCTTTTTGCAATTTTCACCATGAGTGCGATCTTTGAGACTCGAGTAATTTAAATTAGTGTTGGAGACGTTGCAGACAAGGCATAATCTCTATTTTCACTCCCACATAACAGAGTAATTTATAAATTTTAATTCGGATTCAATCAAATTCACTAAAAATATCATTTAAGGGGCCGGGATAGCCTGGTTGGTAGGGCATTGGTTTCGTATCCAAGAGGTCGTGGGTTCGATCCCAGCCAGCCGAATACTCCCCACGTAGCAAATGGTGACTGATGCACGTTAAATCTGTCGAGTCACAAAGTCCTCCATGTTCCGATGAAAAAACAGGGGGTACTGATCCAGGAGTTTCCTTGTGTTCTGGATTGGTTCAAAATTACGAGGCTACTGAGTTGAACATTAGTAGTCGTAAACCTAAAATTGGGTCGGCTGTTCTCCGCCGGTTATAAAATAAAATAAAAAAAGAAACTTTCATCTACTCAGCCTTCTGTAATTTCTAATCAAATCAATAATACATTTTTATTTTGACCTCACTTTATCTTAAAATTTTGAAAAGAAGAAACAAAAACTTGTCACTATTTTCAGTCATTTCATGCATAGTTTATAATGCTATTAAATATAAGTTTAAAGAAACTTTTCGTCATGTTTGGCTCAATTTGAGGTCCCCATTATCTCCATTCTTTTTAAAGCAATAAATGAAGAAAATTATCTAATGGGGCGGTTACGTAGAAGGGAAATGGGTTAATGGCTACTCATAAAATCGCCAATATCGACGCCAAATGAGGGGGAAAAGTTCATAAAACCAATTCAAACGAAGATAAATATTTCCAAATGAAATATAACTTACTTTGTAAAATGTAAATGATCGTTTCATAGTAAATTTTTCTTCCGCATCGATGGAGTTGAAACAAAATAGGGGGACAGTTTAATTGTGAAAATACGAAGCATTCACTAACGTTTATGTTAAAATCGAGATAGTATATCATCACGTGACAGAAGTAGCGCAATTCGTCGTGAGACAAATCGCTTCGTGTTTCATTTATATTATGAAAATGTTTAGTTTTTTGAGTTATTTTCATGCATTTTATGACCTGAAATTAGAAATGTTTTCATAATACACTCAAAATAAATGAAATACATGAATATTGTCGCTCGCCAAGTTTATGTCAAATATGAAATATATACAACAAAAAAAAAAATTTCTTCTTCTTTTTAACAATTTATGTTTTTACTAAACAGAAAACTGTTTTAGTCAACATCGATTCTTGTAAACATCTGCATTATTTAGTGATTTGGAGGAAATTTTTCGATTTCAGTTCGGTTAAGCAAAAAATCGATGATTAACTTGCCTACAGTCCTTCTGGCACATATGCTGGTGCATTTTAATGCGGCTTAGTATTAGTTAACTGTTATTATTTAAAGCAACATAACCTACGTTTATCTTATTTATTCTATGCACGTTTAAATTTAAACAAATTTTTAGTCACTATTTGAAATAATTTCTACCTTACTGTGAATGACCGAAATCGGTGGTTGTTGACTTCCACCGGTGAATGTTGAGAATCACATAATCGCTTTGGTAAATGTCCGAAATATATATACTAGGTCTACTTAAGTGCCACTGCCCGATATGCATTTACCCGGTATGCCCTACATCGATGTTTTTTTTTAAAGTTCAGCGCCACTGCCCTATATGCATTTACCCGGTATGCCCTACACTGATGAGTTTTTAAAGTTAAGTGCCACTGCCTGGTATGCATTTAACCGGTGCTACGAATACTGATGTTTCTCTTAAACTATCCTCAGCAGATATTAAAATATAGAATAAATATAATAATATCAAAGAACAAATTAATTTAAAATCGGATATAACAAATATTTTGGACATTTATCAAAGCGACTATGTGATTGCACCAGTGAAAGTTAATATTTTCTTGATTTCGGTCATTCAGGGTAGCATACATATTTTTTCATTTCTGGTAATTGAGAATAAATTTTAACAGTTAATTTTTTTTTTCTAAGCTGGTTATTGGTGGGTTTCGAGAGGATCTCGTCAACACCCTAGAGGTCTTCGCCTGGCTAATGAAGATGGCAGGTAAGAGAAAAAATTATGTGCACTTTAAACTCAAGATTTTTCTTTCTTTAAAATGCTCAGGTGTTTAGTAATGTCCGCTTTTTATGTTACAACAGTGAGCAAATAATTAACGGATCACAATGAATAACTTTTGATCTAATGATCGGATTTTCACGTTCTAGAACAGGGGTTTCCAACTTACATGAGACCACAATTAAAAACACAACTCAAATGGCGGGCAGCAACTTTATCAAACTTTTATGTAGGACTCTTTTATGTTTGAAGGAACATTAAATATTAAAGTCAGATTTTTACCAAGTTGTAAAAAAATAAAGTATTGAATTACAAATTAAAATAAGAAGTAGATTTTTAAAAATATTTAATTATTATTAATAATAATTTTAAAGACATAAATAAATATAAAAATTCGGACTACAATAACTTTAATGTGCACCTATGTTTTTAACAATTAATGTGCAACAGATATCTAATTGTTAAGATATAAAACTTTAAAAAGGTTGGTATTAAAACTTAAATAGTAGCACATAACATGTTTAATGAGAAAATTGAGGTTTGTCTGCTGTAACTACCAGAGAATAGATATTTACTTATTAAATTTAAAATTTACAAATGTGTGTGTTAATATTTTCGTCCAAAATGAGTGGTTTCAAAAAGTTAAATCGGAGAATTTCTTAAAAAAAAATTACTGATACGCGCATGCTAAATTATATTCACAAAATACAAAAAAAAATGAAATAAAAAAGAGCAACATACACGATTATTTTTGTATTTGAATAAATGTTTTCTTGGATGCAAAACCTGAGAAAAAACTTTTTTTTGCACCGTTGGTATGTTAAATTTCACAGAAAAGAAGAAATTAGGTTTTTATTAACGAGAAAAGTATTTTAAACCCATATAGATTTTTTACGAAAATTGTCTGCAAAAAAAATGACAACTAATATATTTTAGTACGCGGGCCACAAAAGAAGGCTTCGCGGGCCGGATGCGGCCCCGGGCCGCCAGTTGGAAACCCCTGTTCTGGAATAATGGTTCTATCTTAAGGGTTTGGAGGGGTGATTTCATATATGCTAATTAAATAGTGCAGGTGATATTTTAAGTTACGAAATCAGACACAAAAACACCCTTTCTCTGTATAAACATACTTTTTTTTCTGAAGGATTCGGATTTGTAACCCTGTATGACAGTGTTTCCCAAACTTACGACTTTTGTGTACCCTCTCTAAATTTTTCGTCAGGCTGTGTACCACTAATAAGAAACTGAATATATTTTTTACTATAAAATGGCACAAAAGTTAAAAATCACAACTGGCTGTTGGCACCCCTCATTATTTACTGTTAACTCTGCAAAAAAATAGCCAATAGAAAAATACATAATCGTAAATTTTCATGGCTAGATTTGTTTTTAAATAAAATTTTCGTTTGTTACAAGATATTTCGCATTAGAAAGCGTACCCTCGCTAAACTGTTCCCGCACTCCTGGGGGTACGCGTACCACACTTTGGGAAACACTGCTCTATGTAATCGGGGAAATATAGTCCCAATTGTTAGTCAGGAAAGTGGTCCAATGTTTGGACCACTTAATGTCATTTTTTTTCGTATTTAGCTATATCTGGAGAACTTTTTATGTGAATTTAAAAAAATTTTCACTCAATTATAAATCTCATTTTTCCAAAAATAATTCTACGCAAAAAATAACTTTTAGTAAAGATTTATTATTTTATTTCATAATTAGTCAAAAAAAAATTTGAATTGTAAGATATTTAATTTCATCATTATAATGAATGTAATTTTACACGGAGAAATACAAAATTTGAACGAAATCGGTCGAATAGTTCCTGAAAAAACGAATTTTAAAACTATGACTTTTTCTTAAAAATACTACCGTCTTACTTGGGAGCAAACTAGAGAAGATCAAAAATAGTATGATTGATCTCTAAAACGTCGATGCACTTCTCATAATTACCTTTCAACTCCCCTCTCACTCTTTCGGCAACCAGACAGAATAAGACGCATTCAGTCTCGCTTTCCTTGGTAGTGACTTGTTAGATTTCGATTTTTCCTCGCTTCAATAAAGGGTTTTGAAAATTTATACTAAGAGCAGCTATTACGAAATATTTTAGTCACAGTCATAAAGTTTAATTATAGTAAAAAGATGCCGTTGATTACTTGATTGATTTTCAATTTCAGACCATATGTGTTTGAGATATCGCAAAATTCTTTTTCTTCGTCGGTATTCGTATTTATATTAATAATCACCGCCGAGGTAATAATTATGAATAAGTTAATCTACTAAAAATCAAGAAAGTACTTTGAATTAATAATATGTAAAGTATGTATGCGTTAAATGAATAATAAGTATTAGTTTTTGTCTACTCATGACTTGAAATATTGTGTTAATGATAATCGAATCAGAAAAAAAAAAACTTTTAACCAATGGGTAACGTGAGTAACGTAATAATACGATCTCGATTTTGTCATTAGTCAGCGTCATGGTTATGACTATAAGGTTAATTTCATCTAATTTGTTTTTGTAGTTCATTTACGATTGTTTTGAATTCCGCTTTCACCATTCTTTACTTCAAACATTATTGAAATTGCTTCTAAGCTACTTCAGCTACAGATTCTTTTTACTGTTATTAAATGACTGTGACTAATATTATTCACGCTGGTGGAAATAAAAAAAAGAAAAGAAAAAGATTCTGAAATACAATTAACTCCAAGAAGTTCCAAAATTATCGTCTGCTTTTTTTTATTTATTTGATCTAGTTGGGCTGTTTTATTTCATTAATGCTTACGTTAGAAAGATATTTTATGACTCTTTTAACTCTTTATTTGCGATTATGGCGAGGAAGTTGATCTAGTCGAAAAGTGTGCGGTCGTGGAAAAAAAAAAAAAAACCTAGCGAAACATCAATTTTCCCAATGGATCAAATAAAAATAGAAGAGGAATAAAAAATATGGATCGTTTTTGCCTTTCTTTGTATGATTTCCGACTTATATGGTAAAAATGATTTTAATGCATTTAAAGTAGGAATTATATATAAAAAAAATTGGAAAAAAAAATAGTTTACGTGTTTATTAAAATAAATAAATAAAATTATATATTTTAATTAAAATAAAGCTCATCCATGTGCCGAATAAACACATTTTGTTTTTGTCTTGATTCTGTTTGTGGGTAAGCTGATATTTTGTTTTCATAAACATGTCTCAATTTTTTCCACTACTTTCAGAGCTCATATTTAAGACCCGGTCGTTATACAACGGTAGAAAATGTAGTTTTTATGTAACTACGTAGCTTAGTTGAAAATAAACTCATATATACGATAAAATAATTAAAATAAACAATTATTTAAAATTATTTATTATTTTTTATTTATAGCTTAAATAAGATAATTTTTGTAATTTAGCATGTTTTATATTATGTACACAGCAGGATATTTTCAAAGTTGTTTTCACTTATCGACCATGAATCTTAACGACCCATCAAACAATAGGATAGATATGTGCTATAAAATTATCAGTTAGCTTACTTAAATCAATACCTTTTCTGATAATTATTCATTGTAATAAGAAGTTCTAACAAGAGTAAAAGCAATTATATTTGTCAATAGACAATCGCATTGTAAAAGCATTTAGACAAAAAAAATCATAAAATATTATTTTTTAATTGATAACATTATACCAAATGTTGACTAAAATATTGAATGCTAGTTCTCAAGAAAATATAGAAAAAAAATTTTTTTGTCAGATTTAGGTTAGTTAATAATAAAAACGTGTCATTTAGATGCAATTTTACACATAATTTGCTTATAATTTCCTAACTTATATTAACTCATAATTAACTTAGACTCATAATTAATCAGACACTATCTGATCAATAATATCAAAAAGGGAAAGGTTAGTACTTAGGTAGCTGAGAACCATACGTCAAAAATACGTATATTTCACCTTTAAATTTTACTAGCCATTCGTTAAATTTAAAAAAGGTCGAATTAATAACAAAACATGGTTATCCAAAAGATGCAAAATCTTACGTAAATAAAATTCGTTTTCATTTACGAATATTTTACAAGCAACTTTTTACTAGGTAAGAATGAGTACGTAATTTTTACATATTATTTGCGTCAAAAATTACGTAATCTGAAACGACGAATTATAGCAAAAAATGGAAAATTTTTGTAAAATCTTACGTAAATAAATTCGTTTATTTTAAGATTATTTTACCAACCACTTTTTATTAGGTAAGAATGAGTACGTAATTTTTACACATTATTTAAGTCAACAATACGTCAAAAATTGCGTAAGCTGAAACGACGAATTATAACAAAAAAAATGGTTATCCAAAAAAGGGAAAATTTACGTAAAATTTTATGTAAATTAATCAGTTTCTTTTATGAATACTTCACCAACCACTTTTTACAAGGTAAGAATGAGTATGTTATTTTTACACATTATTTAAGTCAAAAGTTACGTAAGCTGAAACTACGAATTACTGCAAAAATTAGTTATCCAAAAAATGGAAAATTCACGTAAAATTTTACCTAAATTAATTCGTTTCTTTTAAGAATACTTTACCAACCACTTTTTACTAGGTAAGAATGAGTAAGTAATTTTTACATATTATTTACGTCAAAAGTTACGTAAGCTGAAACGCCGAATTATAGCAAAAAATTGAGAATTTACGTAAATAAATTCGTTTATTTTAAGATTATTTTGCCAACTACTTTTTACTAGGTAAGAATGAGTGCGTTATTTTTACATATTATTTGCGTCAGCAACACGTCAAAATGTACATAAATTGAAAAGTAGAATGAAAAAAAAAATATTTGTGTCTGATTTCATAATTTAATTCTAAAGCATTAATTTACTGACGTAATAAAAGTTTGATAAACATAACTAGGTAAAAAGTTATTCGGGGTATTTTTTTATTTTATTATTTAAACTATTATTATAGAGAAAATGTTTCTCCTCAGCTTGGCTCCCCTCGCCAAGTACACAGGTCGCACAGTGGTGATAACACTACCGGACGAGTACACCGTCCATGACTTTGACTGGTTTGGTGTATGGTGCGAAGAAGCGCAAGTCGATTTTGGTAGTGTCGCACTTCCCCACAACATCGTAGTACCACCTTCACCTAGGACACTGGGGATTGAACTTGAGGTACGATTTTTTCTTTCATTCAAAATTATTTGATAATAGGCTAAATATATTTGCATAGCAGCTCTCTTAAGATAGAATAAAGTCCATCAGTGTGAGTAGACCGATTTTTAATAGTTTTTGTTATAAATGATTGATTATTATTTACTATAGTTTTCTTATACCAGGACTCCTATTGATTAACATATCCTAGAGATCTTTTTAAGAGAGATTTCCCGTCCGTTAATGCATATTTCTCCTGTTCACAAAATATTTTATTGTTAAAAATGTCATTTCGCAAAGTATTATTTTATCGTAAAAACGGACTCTTCACAAATTATTTTATTGTAAAAACGGACTCTTCACAAATTATTTTATTCTAAAAAATGGGCATCTTTGCAAAATTTTTCTTCAATTCGATTTAGACCAATTTTGAATAATTTTTGACATTAATGACCGATAATTATTTACTATAGTTTTCTTATACCAGGACTATCTTTATTTATTTTTCCAATTGACTAATATATCGTAGAGATCTTCTTAAGAGAAATTTGTGGTCTGTTAATGTATTTCTCTCCTATTCACAAAATATTATTTTATCGTAAAAACGGACTCTTCACAAATTATTTTATTATGAAAGTGAACCCTTCACAAATTGTTTTATTCTAAAAAATTGACATTACAAAGTTTTTCTTTTGAGAAACGGCGTCGATGCCTCCTTTAGTTCATGGTTTTAGAAATACAACTTCTTGAATGACATGGTTTTTGTGTTTTTCATTTTCACATATTCATAAAAACATAACCTGCTTGTTAGAAAGAACCAAATTTACGATAATTTGAGATTTGGGAATAGGTTTTTTGAAAATCCTTAAAAAAAACAGGAACTTTTACAAAAATGTATGGAGACTCCGCTGCTTTTTGTGATTTTTTACCATATCAGAAGATCAGGGCCTTGTTTTCTCATATTCTCAAAATTATCAGTAGATTTTTCACAAGTTTAAAGAAAAAAACAGGACCTTTCACAAAAAAATCTTCCATAACCTTTACATTGGGTAAAAATCGAAGCGTCAAGCGTTAATATTAATGGGTTAATTTGGTAGTGAAATTACTGAGAAACTATATCAGTTTAATAACTGATAAATTAGTATATTTTGTATCAATTACAAATTAGTTAAAATTTTCAAATATTTTTGATTTTCTGTAAAAATTATTGAATAAAGGAATCAAAAGCCTATTCAACCAGGAGAAAGTTGTTACATTTATCAGAGAGCTGAAAATAATTTATTAAAAATGTCAAATTTAAAAAAAAAATGAAGGTATGAATAATACATAAAAATTATGGATTTGACAAATGATCTTTTAAATTATATAAAAGGCAAAAGTGTTTATGTTATTAACTTTTTATTGACCGAGGCAATCACAATTTCTTTTGAAAAGTATCAACTTTTTGAAGCTAATATGTGAATCTTTGACTTATCGTTCATGAGCAAGCAAAATAAATGTTGCTTAATAACAACAAGTAATAATATTAAGATACATTGATCTGTATTAAATTTAGTGTAGAGAAATGAAGTTAAAATCGAAGAAATTCAGATAGAAGTGAAAATGGTTTTAACTAGTTTAGAAAAAACTTCTTGTAGTTTAAAATTTGTAAAAGAGATTTTCAGTTACATCAATTTATTATGAGCTGTGTCTTTGCATGTAATAAAATTTTCTTTTTAAGAAAATACCTCAAATGTAATTTGATAGTTCATAAATTTTATGTGCAATCAAGTTCTTTAAGCAATCGAACTTTTTAAAAAGTTCTTAATTTCAAATTTGAAAATATCCGTTAATTTTTAATGATTCTCTGAATTTTTAGTAATAATATTCGGAGAAAAAAAATTTAAAATTCTACTATGTTCTGAAATTCAGAGAATATAGTTACCAATGAGAATTCGTCATCATTGGAGGATTTCAGCGAAGTATGAAATATAAAAGGAGATAATAATTTGGTACCCGTCTTTGAAAATTAAAATAATTGAAGTTTAAGTTTAGAAAGATTGAAAGGGACACTTTGGTAAATTCGAGTAAGTGAGTTTTAAACATCATAGTTTGAAAATAGTAAATGAAGATTATACTTTGTCTTCATTGCGTCTCCTTATAATTACCGAAATTTGTAATTCCCATTCAAACTGTTCACGTCAGACCCTTCGAAATGTAGAAGTTTAATTTGCTGATAAACAAAAGGTTTTATAAAATTACTGATTGCTTGCAAATATAAATGAAAGTTGCAAATGCACTTGCAACTTTCTGCCACTTTCATTCTCTGGGAGCAGTGAAATGGACGCAATAAATGCCAAGTCATTTTATTAAATACGAATAAAAATCCGTCCTCTAGAAATTCCAATTTTTTTTCTCTCTACAAAATGTCACTTATAATTTTCTTCCATTAAGCTCTTCCATTTATTTCATAAATGGATGCGAAAAAGAAAAAATTGCATTTTTGGAGGTTTTTTTTTCTTACCTAGTAAAGCAAAATCTATCAAGATATAAAAATTCTTATGTAAGAACAGACAAGTATTATTGAATAATTAATCAGGCAGTCAAAATTCTTTTTTCTTAAAATTTATAACCACGCACAAGTGTTTTAAAAAAATAGCCGTTAAAACCATACCGCTCGTGGTTAAACCAGTATGAATTAAATAAGATGCTGCTGGTGACACTGATGTTAAAATGAAAATAATTTAAGAATATAATCAATCAATTAATTGCTATCGTAAATAATTAAATGGATGTTTATTCCATATAAAAGAAGATGTTTAAAGTATTAATCTTTCTAATATTCATTTCTGCCGGATTATAATAATAAACCCAAGTGACAACGACCCAATTTCTTTGGAGAAAAAAATTTGTCTCGCCCCAAGCAATTAATTGTAAATAATTATTTGACTCGGACGTCATACGAAGACAGATTGCTGATTCCAGAATAAATAAAAAGGGAACAATACATTTTGTAGGCCATACACGTATAAATTAAGCACAGAAATAGAGCGCACGTTGCCCTCTCACCCTTCACTCTGTGTCATTGATTCATTTTTGAAGAATTTTTGATGGAATTCTCTGGTGGATTATCTTTCGTGAAAACAAGATATGTCGTTCTTTAATCAAAAGAATTTTGTGATCAGTATGTTCGCCATTTTGCTTTGCGTTTGTAATTTTCATGTAAACATCGTCACTCATGTCATATTTTTTGACATGACATCTCTGTTAGCAACAGGATATTAAGATTTAAGAGATACATATATGTTTTCTTTTTATTTTATATCATTTTCACTTTCGTTAAATAAATGAGCTATCGCAGCAAAAACTTTTTTTTATATTTTTATAACAGTCGTTGAATGGACCACCTAATTTTTTGAGTTCACGACTGCTAATGTTCAACTCCGTTCTCTTGTAATTTTGAACCCGATCCAGAAGACAAGGGTATTCCTGGATCAGGTATTGGGAGAAATTTGCTTTCGTAGAAAACTATTTTATATTGTAGGACTAATCCTCATTTGTGCTACATGGAGAGGAAAACTATGAAAACCTCCAACGGTTAGCCTGACGGCAAGGAAACTCTAACCCATGATCCGTCTACCACTGAGGATATTTTGCGTCAGCACTGTGGTTGGTGCAAGCTGGATGCGGAATTCGTATCTACCAGCCATCATTGGGATTCGAACCCGGTTCACCTCATTGGCAGACGAACGCTCTGTCCCCTGAGTCATCACGGCTCCAGCAAGGACTTTTAATAGAATTCTCTGGTGGATTAATTGTTCCCGTAGGCTAAATTTGTCGTTCTTTAATCAATAAAATTTTGTCATCAGCGTGATCGCCATTTTGTTTTACGTTTTGTGGTAAGATAGGTAAAATCGTCTTAATAATTTTTTAGTTGATTATAGGCCAATAACGAGATATCAAAGGTACCAACGGAATATTAGGGTTGAAAAAATAATTATTTGTTTTGATTTCGGGTCATATTCACTTTCATGAAATTATTTTGTTATCACATCGGAGATTATGTACTGAAAAATAAGGTATTCTAGTATAACTAAATTTATTCAGCAAGTAAATAATTATTTCAACAATGTAAATACATCTAATGTAAAACAGAAATTTGTTTCACTTGTAATACTTACTTACCATTATAAAACTATTATCTTTTATAACGAAAATGATATTTTTTTAAATGAATATTTTCCGCTATTAAATTATCGAACTAACGTAGCGTACCTGGTATGGAAAATATTTATACCCTATGAAAATCTTGAATTAGGTCCCAGCAACAATTCGAATGAAATTCTCTTTGATGAAATTATTTTGTCATCACATCATAGGTTTAGTACTAAAAACCAATTTTTTTCAGCATAACCAAATTTAATCGTCAAGGAAATATGTATTTCAAAATTAATAAAACACATATCATGCAGAAAATAATTATTTGCATTAAATGCTATAATGAAAAAATTAAATTTTCTTCAGCATAAACAAATTTAATCATCACGGAAATATGTATTTCAAAATTAATAAAACACATATCATGCAGAAAATAATTATTTGCATTAAATGCTATAATGAAAAAATTAAATTTTCATAATAAATTGTGTGTTTTCTGTAACAAATTATTTTTTTTTATGAAACGTTAAACAAACATCGGAACGCTAATTAGTAAATATTTTCTGCTAAATATTGAGGATTCGCTTCGATCAAATTAATTGTCAAATTCAGATTGATTTCTTTTAAAATTGGGATCAAATTCACTTTGATGATAGTTATTTGCAATCATAACAAAGTTTTTGCACTGAAAATAAATTATTTCACTATAACTAAATTTATTCCTTTTGGAAATAAATACTCCAACAATTATAAACTATTAATACTACAGAATACTTACATTAATTACTAGCTATTATGAAACGATAATTTTTCATAACAAAATTAACTTTTACGCATATAAAAATTATTATTTTTCTCTCTAAGAATGTTAAATAAACGCCTTA